ACCTTCTACCTGGTACCACCTCCACCATGTAATACGTGTGGCTGCGACGGCCGTCCGTCTTCCACCTACTGCCTTCCGACTTACCTTCATATCAACCCTCCTCGCTCCGTCTTCTTCAATTGATTCCAGAACCAACCTTTCGCAGCGTCCTCCTCTACTTTTGCTCGATGCTTGCCCTCCTGGGCGTGTCCCCTTGCAGATCACTCCTCGTCGCTAGCCAAACGTGAAATCCAACACCGTTACCCACCAAGCCGCCCACCAAAGCTTTCTGCCATCCCTTTGTCCAACTGGCCTCAACGACCACCGTCACATCCCACCGAGCCTGTCTCGAGATTGCAAAGACTCTATCAACCTTTTTCGCACCGACGCCGACGTATTTTCCCTCGTAGACAAGGATTTCTTTGCCCCCGATCTATTCCTCGAGCCATCGCGAATTATCGACCAGTCCGATCCAGCACTTCCCCTTGAATCAGTCCTTACCATCATCTCGCCCCTCCATACGAAATATCCGCCCAGTATAGCTACAGACGAAATCGGTGACGAATCAAGACCTTTAAAGTACCAAGCGATACAATTCAAATCTCAATAGAAATAATTCACCAATCTATCGGAGGCTTTGACACGACAAGAGTTCTCCGGTCCGCCCTTGTCAAGTGGCCTCTCGGTCCTTGCTCGGCGAAGCGATAAGGGTTTAGGCAGACCTGATGAATTGACCCTCCCGACAGTTTGAGGTTTGAGGTCGGAGGAAGGTTGAGCGGACTGCCTGTGGCTTTGTAACGGTGGTCCAAATACTCTGCAACTCCATGGGTTGACTGTTCGTTCAGTCTGTCAAGCCTCTAAAGGACTGTTGTTAGCAGAACGGCCCTATCTTTCCCGCCCACACATCACCACTCGCCCCTTACACACTTCGTTGACACTTAATTCTGGTCGTCACGCGACCAAGTCTCTCGGCTGCATCATATCCTGTTCCTAGTCCGTGCTGAACCACCGCTCTGGGCATGGATCCACACTTCGTTGTCACACGAGAAGATCTGTATAATTTACAGATGGAAGTGAAGCAGGTTCAGTACGCTCAAGCCAATCATGCGGATCGAATCACGAAACTGGAAAAGCGTCAAGCAGACGACGCCGCCATTAAGTCAGTTTGGAACTCCCCCTTTCCGGGGGTCCTCAGTGGAACGCCCCAGCATGGTATGTAATTCACCTCATTCCCGCTGTTCAGCCAATTTAGCTAATGGAATAGGCCCCGTTTCACAAGAAGACCTCTTTGATGACTTGGATGAACAGGGGGAGCAGCTTCTCAACTCTTTGCACCTAGGCCCTGCAGAAGAGGAGCCAACTCGGCGGGGGGCTGCTTCAAGGGCCAACAGCGTTCGATTCGATGAGAGTGCGCTGCATGGATCAAGCTGGGCTGGGCATAACAATCGTCACTCGGGAGACTTTGGACCAGTGCGGCCGGCCAGCAGCCTAATGATGGAGCGATCTCTCTCCCACAAATCCGACGGCAGACACAGTTCAGCAGGACATTCGGTTCACTCACACCATTCAGTGGCGTCTGGCCGAGCAAGCAGCTTGGGCCTTGATACAACCTTTGCTGTAGAAGATGATGACGACTCCTCCCTGAGTATACTCGAGCCACCAACTTCGTTGTTCGTTCTCGGAAGTGTACCGTCCATTGTGCGCTGCTGGTTGACAACAAACTTCGCACATAATTCGCTTCTATATGCTGATGTTTGTACTGGTTCGCAAAAGTCCACGGTTGATTTCTCTTTGATCAAAGAGCTCGGCCTTGCTGATGAAGTTCAGCGAGATATGGATGGCACCTATCGGGCTCGGCTAAACGTTTATTTCGCGGAAGCGACAATTCTCCATCATAGTCGATCAGCCAACCCCGAACGTCCTGTTCCCTCCATGGCTGTCGCTTTTGAAGTGGTCGGGATGGATATGAATGATCAAATGAGAGACGGTCGAGGCATTCGCATTTACGTCGGAAGTGATGCATTAAGGCTACACTCGGCCGATATTCTATTCTCCCAGAACACAATGCTCTTGTATGGGAGTGACAGGTCTCGTTTACGAGTACCTTTTGTGAGACCAGAGGATGATGCTGTTTTCAAGCACATATGTACCGCAAACCTCATTCCCGGTAAGCCAAGGCTGAACGCGAACGCGGCCCCATTCGTATTGGGCGATCTCTCCTCAGAAAACGACCGCGTCGAGTATATCCGCCCAACAAGTCCACAGCATCACGGGGACGACGATGTCAGCCGGCCAAATTCCCCTCTAGGTGCCCTGTCCGAAAGCACCAAGGATATGGGACCAAGCAGCGCCTCCGAAGTTGGCTTGGAGAGTGACAAGTCTGTGAAAGCTAGGACGGACGGAGAATCGAGTGTCAAAGAAGGTTCAATCACGTCCGAGTCGAGCCGGAAGGAACCCCAAAGTGGCATCTGGGGACCATGGCGTCAAGGAGGGACCAATGGGGCAGACGGCTCACCTAGGGAAACTGGACCGTTGAGCGGATATCAACCGGCAGCTCGCCCAAGCCGTAACATGAAGGTTCTGAAGCCACAAAAATCAACCTCGGCTAGGACTGGTTCCTCGTATGAACCAGCCCCTTCGACAACGAGAGAAGGTGGAGAAGGACGCCGCAAGAGTCAGGCCGGTCTTGGTGAATCGATATCAAATGGTAATATTCGTTGGGACTCGAAAAGAGCCGTGAGTGTGAGTTACGGGCCTGAAGCGAAATCTTCGTCTCACAACACTAGTCGTGAGGCTCGCAACTCGCAGAGCCTTCCAAAAGTAGCGAACCCAGTCGGCGGGGCATCCGCTTTTTCATGGATGGCTCCTCCTCCTAAACCGAAGGTTTGATAGGTATCAGCGATGGCCTCTTGTATCTTTCCTTGTTGCTCCTGTACAGGAACAGTAGCTAGAAGTAGTCACTGCACTATGTGCATGATGAATAAAGAGAAAAAGATGAGAGAAGACCAAAAAAAAAATAGAAAATGTTTTTTTATCATATACACTGCTGTCGAGTACCAGTTTGTGATCAAATAAACGTATGAATATGGGCATGTAATAGATACTGAACGTATATCTTGAAAGGGGATATAAAGTGTAGATCTGCGGCGTACCGACGAATTAAAGAAAGGGTGGGAAGGATGAGAGTCTCGGCAGAAGATTCCAGTCTGGGTGTGATATCTATCAATTTAAAACGGGCCATGTCCAAGCTGATTCAATGAAGCCCTCTCACTCTAATCTAGGAGAAAAAAGAAAGGCGGCCCCCCCCCCTCTCTACAACTAAATCTTTGGGGGCAGAGCGCCAAGGACGGTCTTGGTGTCCGCCAGCGAGGTCTTGACAACGCCGAGGAGGCTCTTGAAGCCCGGGTGGCTGGCGTCGCCGACGGTCTCGTACATCCAGCTCTCGCTAGTCGTGACGGTGATCCCCGCCTCGGCGCGGAGGCGGTCGAGGGCGACGGTGACCTCGGCCGGGTTGGCGCTGCTGACGGCGTCGGCGATGACGTAGACTCGGTGGCCCGCGTCGCGGAGGTCGAGGGCGGTCTGGGTGATGCAGATGTGGCTCTCGATCCCCACGAGGGCGATGGACGAGGCCGGGGCGAGCTGGGACGCGATGGGGGGGATGTACATGGAGAACTTGGTCTTGTCGTGGGCCGGGGAGGGGAGGAGGGAGGCCAGCGCGGGGACGGTCGGGCCGAGCTTGGCGACGGTCTGGGTGGTGGTGTGGACGGGGATGGAGAAGTTGTTGGCGAAGACGAGGAGCTTCTTGGTTGTGAGGACGCTGTTTGTGGGAAGCGCGTAAAGAGGTTGGTTAGTTTTATAGGATCTTGCCTGGCTCATGTGGTTCATTGCAATGGAAAAACTGAGCGAAGAAAGGCATACATTTTATCGAACTCGTGGATCGCTGTTTGGAATTTCTCCTGGATGTCGCAAACACTGTAAAGAAACAGCCGTTAGCTTGGGTTTGCGCCTATTTCATCTCATCTCATCTCATCTAGTTCCGTCCCATGTGCCGTCGCAAGCACGAGCATTGCGGCTGATGACGTAGGATCGCTTCTGTGTCTGAGATTGGCCCAGAGCTGGTGCTCTCTTAGGGGTATGGGTTTTCTTTTTCCCATCCCGAATTCCCCCATATCTGGGTCCCCTCTGGCAATTGACTCATCGGGCCCTAATTCAAGCCTCACTCACAAGAGATTGGGGTTTTCTATGCGGGAAGCATTAGCCATTCTGCGCTCAATTCGCGTCACAGGGCCACCGCTATCACTAAAGACTTACTGAGCCGCAGGCCCTGATCACCATTCACAGCCATCGTATAGGCGCGTTGGTGAAACTGCGGTCGAGCGGAAGAGGTGGACGGCACTGCGGTTCTGATGAAGATGGGGAGCAGCTGGTGCTGCAGACGACGTCGTCCACACTGCCACGGGATGGCCTTATAGGTTGCTGTTGGCAGGGCAAAAAGGGACATACCCGACGGCAACAATAACAATAATAATAATTGGCAAGAATTGACGAGGAAGGGAGGAAGTGAAAACGTCTCGTTCCCGGGTGCCTGGTCTGGCGATGAACTCGTTGTCTACGACAAAAAGGAGGGGACGGCTGGGAATGAGGTTCTAAGACAAGCACATTTAAAGGTCAGTTGGGCCAGGGTCAAGCCCACAGGGGCCCCAGCTAGGCGGGCTGCGGTGGCATTTAGTGAGGGGAGATCCGGCATTTGGGGTCCAATGAGGGCCATGGCAAGTCGCGAGCGCGACCGGGTGGATGGATTGGGACGGCGATCACTTCCCATGTTTGTTAGATATGAAGATGGGAGCATCTAGGGTAGTTCATCCTACCCGAGACCGCGCTACCATCGCACTCCTCACGGCGGATTGTGGCATTGGCTGGCCATATCTCTTAGATTACTATTATATATTATCATAAGCACACTAAATACGCGTATGCAAACCCAAGCCAAAATCCGCTTGATATTCACGGGCATAGTACATCTAGCCCATTGTGCTAGGCCATTCCGCACTCGCCTCTTCAGTGACCGAATACACTTGATGACTGTGGTAAGTGCTACACTACGTTAGCGATAGTGAAGAACAATTTTGTTTGCGGGCTGTTGATATACATACTCAACAAATTTACTTGGCCTGCCGGTTTGGCTGCCCTCCATATCAGGTGTAAGCATCCATGAATGGGCCAAAGCCTCAGCCGCAGAAGGTCTCTCTGCAGCCGCTGGTGATAATAGCTTCCCTAGCAGCTCTAGGCAAATTTCACTGGCACCAACGCGCGTGAGAGGTTGACGAGGGAACTTTGCCTTTCCACCCGCGTAGTTTTGCAGACTTCCAGGTTCCGAAAAGACCAATTGAGTCGTGAGCAGCTGGTATGCAATCACTCCAGTCGACCAAAGATCAACTGCGTTGGTGTAAGAATCTCTCTGTATAGCGGTGCTGTTACCGCCTGGGCCCAGATGACGAGGCCGATGTTGCATGCTTCGAACTTCTGGGGCAAGATAGGCGGGTGTGCCAATGACTGTACACAACGGCGAGGACTCTTCTGCCCTTTTTGATATTCCAAAATCTGTAATCTTCACCCACCATTGAGGAGATGTCTCCACGACTAGTATGTTCTAACACCAAGTCATCAGCCGCTGCTATTCTTGAATAAGGAGCGCAAATCATGCCTACCGCTGGTTTGAGATCTCGATGTGTAAATCCATTGTCGTGCATTAACGCCAAACCCTCGAGAATCTGTGAGACGATGTCCTTCACTTCTCTCTCAGGGAGAGGCCTCTTCATGAATTGCTGTAAATCACCCATTTCATGATAGTCCATTGGTATGAAGATACTGTATTCATCTTCATACCAACCAGTCGACTGGACAAAGAATGCCGAATACTGAAATTATTAATCACTTACACAATGTTTTGATAGAAGACGAAACTCACCCTCTCATGCGAAAACTTGGCAATAGCTTCAAGTTCTCTTGTATAGTCGACGGCATGTGTAGCGTCTGGCTGCTTTGCAATCTCCTTCACAGCCCGAAGCTGCCCCAAACTCCCACCCTCGACACATCTCTCAAGCCAAATGCTCCCGAAACCACCGGCCCCAATTCTTTTACTTCTCTTCCATCTCACCTCCGTTTTTACTCGGCGCTGCCGGCTGGCGAGATTGGTCATGAAGGAAACGTGACAGACCGTTCGGCTATTCAAATCAAAGGTCGTATCAAGCTTTGAATCACGTACTAGATCCGGGAGATGGTGGCGACGAGGGCTCGGGGATAGTCGTCGACTTTCTGAGCTGGGTGCTGGGCTGGCGACTGGGTTCCTTGGTTGACGATCTGCTTGAGCCTTGAGCCTCAGCTCAAAGGTATCTTTCCTAATTTTGAACTGCTTGGCCATATCGTCAGGGGTTACCGCCTTCACATTCTGGTTACTGTCATTGATGCTTCTAGCTTGAGAATCACTTGGTTTATCGATTAGGAAATTTCGAGATCGCTCTTCATGCAACCGCGGCTGCGAGGGCTTGGCAGACAGTCGCGGAGACGGGCTACCGCTCTTAACAGCTCCAGACTGAGAAACGCCTGGTTTATCAAGAAGGGAATTTTGAGACCGTTCTCGATGCAGCCCTGGCTGAGAGGGCTTAGGCGACAACCGCGGTGATGGGTTGCCGTTCTTGGCAGCCCCAGAATGAGAATCGCCTGGCTTATCAAGAAGGGAATTTCGAGACTGTTTCCGGCCCAGTTCTGATTTTGAGGGTTTGGGCGATAGTTGAGGACCAATGGTGCCAAAACTGATACCAGAGTCGGTAGTCGATGGCGATTTTGGCGGCCAAGGTGGCGGAAGCTTGCGCCGACCGGGGAGAGTAGGACCTGACAGGCTTATAGTAGATTCAGATGGCACCGGTGACGGTTTCTGCGGTACAGATCGCGTCGTGGGTTCCTCCACAACGAAGGCTGGGATCACAGTGGTTGGGCTAGTTGTTGCGGTGACTGTGGTCGAAGTCGCTTCCGTTGTCCAGTCCGCAGTCACCACTCTCTTCATTCTCGCTTTCCATTTGATTCCCTCGCTTTCCTTTTCCAGTCTTGGTCGATCACGCAGAAGGTCTGCCAGCTCCTTGCCGTAGGAATGCAGACGAGCCAACTCGTATGCATCGCCAGTTTTGCCCACGCCAGGTTTGATTACGCCAAGTTCTTCAATGAGAGTGATGTTGTCTCGGCCCCAGTCGACCATCCTGGCGGCACCCAGGTGGAAGCAGAAGTCAACTGCTTGAAGATACTTGAATGTTATATGGGTCGGTTTTTGGGACCATTCCTTCAGGCGATCATGGAACGAGACGCATATTTCGTCGAAATATGCCTCTCTAAATCAAGGATGCATCGTCAGTTTAAGAGTTGCTAGGTTCTTAGCGGTGCCGCTTCGAAGAGGATGGGGAAAGATGGGATGAGAGTGAGCATGGATAGAAATTGACGTACGACTTGAAAGTGAAGGAGCATATTTTCTGGAAAGAAGCCCAGTCGGGTGGCTTATCAGGCGGACCTGCCGTCACTCCTCCTAGATTGAAACCGGCGCGGAAAGCACGGAAGAGAGTTCCCATCTTCCTTCAAATCGAGGACAGAGGCGGTGGCTTGAGAGGGACAGAAGAGAGTGAGGGGTGGGAGGGGAGGAGGGGTATTAATAAGGCAGACTTGACTTGCTGTCTTAAGCTGATGATGGATGTGCTTTGTGTCAGCCCAAGACTTGACAGGGAGCAGTGCTTTCTATCGTCCATCCATCCATCCATCCCGAACGCTAACCAAGGGCGGTGAGTTGTTATTTCTCCTTTCCCATCAGTCTATTCTTTCCCCTTGCTTCATTACAAATGTCTATTAATCTCGCCCCCGGGGTAATTGCTTCTTCACTCTCGAGGGGCCATGGCGCCTGGGCCGAGATGTGCGATGAGGGTCTAGACAACATGCTTGCATCAATAGCGCAGCACATTTGTTCAAATATCAGCTAGTGCCACCCCCAACGCAGATCGAGATCAGGGGTCCCGTGGCGAAACGCGGGATATCTGACTGGAAATGGCTTCCTTCAGCCCCAGCTGAGGCACCACACAGCGCCTACCGCTTTTGCATTGGTTGGATATCTCTCCGGTCGTGGTATCCATCGATACCATGTCTCTGAGGATGGTGGTGGGTAGTAGTCACCGGCCAAGTCACGAAACCGAGATGCCGGCCAGCTGTATGAAACCATAAATAAATATAATTATCCATATACATTCATTTTTAAACTCCAAAAATATAAAACTGAAAGGCAAAAATATCGACAAATGCGCGCACCTTGTAACGCCGCTATGCATGATGCCTTCTATCTGTATAAACTCAACCATAACGTCTACTCTCCCCCCGGAAATTAACAACAAGTCTATTGGTATCATGCCGTAACCTCTGAGAACCAAGTCCGTAACAATCCAGCCAGCGCACTGGGCAACTCCTCTAGATGATGCACAATTAGATAGTACTGGAACGGGAATGTATCCAGGTACCGCTCAATCACTACCCGGCTCTCGCCTCCCTCCTTGACGAATTTGGCCTCTTTGAGCTCCAGCACGCTGTCGCCCTTCTTCTTCCCCGTGTCGTCCATGATGATGAACACTATCATAATGCGCTCCTCGATTGCCTCTCGGAGTAGCCGTCTGATGCTGTCGTGCGCAGAAGAAGGCGTGAGACCGTCGGACAGGATAAGTGAGAGCTGCCACAGGTCAGAGTTGCCACCGGACTGGCGCGCAGCTCGGAACTTGTCAATCGTCTGCCGGATTAAGAGCGCAATATCGGTACGGTCCTGAGAGAAGGTGAAGTTCTGCAGGACCTTGGCTCCAGCATCGGCGGCAAACGGGTCAGTCAACTCGTGCGCCGTGAACACTTCCCCGCCAAATCCAACCACACCGACTTGCCCAGCCTCTAGCATTGTGAGCGAGCGCGAGACCATGACGAGGGATTCCATGGCCAAGGTTCCCGATGCTGTCTCCCCCATACTCTTGCTGTCATCAACGCACAGCAAGATCTGGTATGTACGCTTGGTAGGGACGCTGCGTCTCATCCAGATCTTGTCTCTCTTGTAGCTCGAGGCTATGTACGGGATGATGCGCTTGATGTTGAGTCGCTTTCCGGTACGGAAGGATCCTGAGAGTTTGGTCGACTGAGAAGGCGTGAGGATGAGGCGGAGCTGGGAGGTAAGAGAAAGCGACAAAGTATGGGTCTTGCTCTGGAAGTCGACCCATTGCTGCATACACTCTCCGAAATCTCGTAGATCTCTCTGGCCGTCGGAGATATGTGTTGTTGATAGCTGAGTAGACGTTTCTTCCATCATCTCATCTTCATTCTCCGCTAGTTTCTGCTCTTCCTCCTCGACTGGGGTCTGCTCTCGATTGAAATTTCCTTGCCGGGTCTTGACTCCCGATCGCGTGTCCTCTTGATCCGTAGTTTTATTGTCCTGTGGACCGGCTTGCTCGTCCTGCTCAATTTGATCGGGTTTCTCGTCATTGGCTGGTTCATCCTCATCTTCTTCCATGACACGGCTCTGAGGGTCCTGTTTTTCTTCATCGATTGCCATGGATTCGTCGATGGGCTGAACCTCTTCCTCCTTGGCTGTGCCCATGGCCTGCGCATCTGCTGCCGAGTCATCATGCTGGAGATGCTGGAACTCTTTTCGGCCTTGATCAGCATCAGGCTGGTTGGTCTGTTTCTCTTCCCCATCCTCTGGACCAGCATCTTTGATATCGTCTTGCTGTCGATGCCACTTTTCGAGAGCGTCTCCAAGCTTTCTAAAGGGGTTGCTGGCAGCAGATTCTGTGGCTTCATCATCCTCGTTATTCTCCTCCTGATTCTGAGGGGGTTCCTTATCCTTGGAAACCGAGCCCTGGGTGCCAGCAGCCGCATTTTCATCAGCCTTAGCCTGACCCTTCTCCCCATCATCTTGGGCGGCCTTGTCTTGGAACTCCTCGTCGAGGTCCATAGCATCACCTTCGTCATCTAAGCCCGAGCTCTTGACATCACTAGGGGCGACATTGTCTTTATCCGCCGTGGCAGCCTCATCGGGTTTAGGAGCCTGGTTATCGGCTTCGTCTTCGGCCTGATCCTCCTCCTGCTTCTCTTCCTCCATCTCCACAGGGTCTTCTTGTATTTCGTCCCCTGCTCCTTCAACCTCTTCCTCGTCTTCCTTCTCCTCGTTCTCGTCTTGTTCAGGGGCATCGCCTTGCTCTTCTTGAACGTCTTTTCCTTCATCTTCACCATCGTCAATCTGGTCATCCGGCTGAGCTTCTTCTTGCACTGGCTCCTCAGTGTCCGAAGCCAAGTCAAGATCATCACTATCCGAAGACATGGCGTCTGGGTCGTCGAAATCAAGATCCATCTCATCAGGCAGGGCTAGGGCATCGTTCTCCTGTGCAGTTTGCTCCTGCTTGTTGAGCTCCTCCTGGGGCTTGGCATCCTCATGTTCACCCTCCACATCTTCCGGATCGGGCTCTTCGTCGTTGTTCTTCGACTCTTCTGGCTCGGGTTCTCCTTCATTTTTCTGCTTCTTGTCATCATCCGCAGCCATCTGCTCATCATCCTGTTTCTGACCCTCGCCCTTGTCACCCTCTTGGTCTTTCTCTGCTTCATCCTCGTTCTCACCATCCCACATCTTCTCATCCACCGCCGTAGGGTCGAGATCATCAACATCTCCAGTCTCCTCGTCCATGTCGTCCTCATCATCCTCTTCCTCATCTCCCTTCTTTGATCCTTCCTCTTCATCCTCGTCCCCGCCAACACTACCCAAGTCACCCTCGAGCTCATCGTCAGCCATGTCGACAGCATCTTTTTCGTCTTCCATCTCCTCATTCTTCTCCTTGTTGGGCTCTTGGGCCAGTTCAGTCAGGTCCTCGTCATCTTGAATATCCTTACTGATATCCTCAGCACCTTCACCTTCACCCAAGCCAGTACCAGACTCAAGTTTGCCTGACTTTGCAGTTTCCTCGCTCTTCTCTTGCGGTGTGCAGAAGCCCTTGGCAGCTATCTGCGCAAAGCTCTTGGTCAAATGCAAAGCCATGTGCCCGGTCGCACGGTGGATATCAAGAAATCGGTCAACTGATTGGCGGCAAAGAGAAGAAAACCGTTCAAGGATGGGCAAAAGTAAATTGATCGCTGCTTTGGCCGCAACGCTGATTTGAGGTTGCCCAAGGTCAAGTCGAGACAACAAATCCAGGCACTGCTCGATGCCAGCTTCAATCTCGCTCATGCGGAATCTCTTGATCATGGAACCAAAGCCGTCGCTATGTTTCGTCAGCCAGCCTGGCTCTTGGTCACCACGGAGAATCTCTTTTCCTGATTTTCTGGCAGCTTCAACAGCAACTAGTGTCTTGTCACAGAGAGTGGAAATCCAGTTCACAAACTCCTTCAAGTCCAAGGAAGATGTGGTAGGTTCCAGTTCCGTTTCTTCGATTTGTGACCAGAGTCGAACCTCATCTAGGATAAAGCCAAGATTAGGGTTGGCCGCAATCAACTGATCCAATGCCCCCATGAATAATTGAAGATCCATTGAGAAATTGGTCTCGACGTCTTGAAGCGCTGTTGTTGTAACGCGGTCTAGAGGAGTAGCCAGCGTCTTGAGGATTGAATTGTGTGACGCGAAGCGGCTTAACCAAGACTGGAGCTCTTGAATGGCCGCGGCATTCTTCGACTCTCCCAGTTTGCCATGGATCTCGATGAGCTGGATGGAGAAGCTCAGTATCTCGACGAGCCAACCCAGAGCTTGTCTCCAGTTGCTGCGCTTTGTGTTCGGCACAATAGACCGGTCGTTATCCGAACGAGAAATCCCTTGCAGCCGGTTGATCGCTCCGTGCAATGAAGACCATGCCGTAGTGACCGTTGTGACATTGTGTCGCTGGGAAAGTAGCAGGTGAATGAATCCCTCCACGAAGCCGATTCCACGCGTTACTTCATTCGATGTGACCTCCTCAGAGTGCTCCCGTGATGACTTACGAACCTGGGGCGCTAGATCGAGCACCTTGTGGAAAAAGTATTCGGCAGTTTCGGAAGCCTCGAAATCAATTGGTGCAGATGAGGCGAGGCAAATGGCTAGAGACTCTTGTTCGGCAAGTCGATCTTGCGACAAATTGTAGCGGACACCCATCTGGCGTAATTCTTTCAGGGTGTCTGCAAAGAGCTTTCGCTTTCTGGTCTTGAGATGCTTCACTTGTTCCTTGTTTTCGTCAGTCAAAGTGCCAGGTGTTTCTTTTCGAAGTTCGGCCATGGACTCGTTGAGACTTGCAACGAAACTGTCAAGCGTGGCAGGAAGGTCAGACGCCAATTCCGGGCTATCTGAAACACGCGTCATAACCGAGACCGTGGTGGCAGTGTTTGCAAGTCGCTTGTTATCTTTTAGCCATGAGTCAGGCAAGTGTTTGGACAAAGAAGCCAGAGCAGATGCGTCAAATGCCTCATTAGATAGTACACCATTGATCGCTGTAGCATCCTGGGCTGCGATATCAGGTAGTCCTTGTTCAATAACCGACTTCATCTCTTGGCCAAGCACACCACGAAACTTCCTTACGAGTCGGAACAACTTTTGATGAGACTTCCGAGCACTTTCCCTGAGTGCTGTGATATTGGTGTCTTTCCAGCTTGCCAGGAGCAGGACATCTTTCATCTTCTTATCAATGGGGGCTCGGCCTCTCTTAATGGCTTCTTCAGCCAATGGCTCAAATCGTTCGAAGAAGCGAATAAGGTTGACCATAGTGTTATGAATCACTGCAAGGTTCGGGTAGTCCTTGGCAAGAAGCTTCAGGTGATTGCGGAGCTGCCTTAGAAGCCCCAGACGAGAGCTAAATTGGCCAATGATAGAAGTTGCAATATACAGCTCCAGATTTTCCACCAAGGATACAGCATAAGCTTGCAGTTCTGAAGGGGAGTCAATCATGGTCAAGGGTGTGGCAACAACGACTTGGTAGGCTATGAACCACCAAGACTTAGCGTCATCTTCACACTTGCTGCGCTCCATTTCGAACAGATTTGCCCACGTAGACAATTCCAATCGTCTCCAACGGATGATCGTGTCTGTTATGGCGTTATGCAGTTCGAGGACTGACCAGGCTTTGCTTGCCCAGCCACCAAATTGCCACTCATACACAAAACCGTGGAGATACTCGATCTTGGGCAGGATCTTGGCAAGCGGCTCAGTGTGAACATTATCTAGGAGCTTGTCGCACGCCTGGATAACATCGACCAAGGGTTGCATGTGGCCGATCTCATCTATTTGCTGAAGTTCTCGGAAACGAGCCTTGACCTTCCCGCACAAAGAAACGAGGGTGCGTACTTCGGGCAGGTTTTCGCTCACGTAGAAGTTGTAAGACTTGCTGTCAACAGTAGATGACAAGAGAATATCCTTCTTCTGGTCGAGATAAAGAATAGTGCTCGCCATCAGCTTTCCGTTGAGATCTGGGCTAAGATAGCTATGATCCCGTGTTTCCTTTGCTACCCGCTGACCTACTGACAAGCATAAGCCAGAAATAGCCTCGGGGGGTGCGACAGGAGACAAGAAAAGTGCGCTATGAGCTTTTGCCGCTTTGAGTGACTCATCTCGGACAACCTCAGTCTTTTGAGTTGCCTTTTGAGCTGACGCGTCCTCATCGAAAGTAGGGAACAGTTCATTGAACTCTTCCTCTTCGATTTCCTCCTCATCTTCAGCGGAACCACGGAAGCGATACATGCTTGTCTTTTCTGCCTCTGCCTTCTGGTCTGCTTCTAGTTTTTGCGCCCAGTTTTTATAAAAGTGGTGGAAGCAGTCAAAGATCGATTCTCGAAGATATTCGGGAAGGTTAGCGGTTCCATTGATAGACACAACCAGGCTCATCAAATCTAAGAATTCGAAGCTATTGGCAGAAACAGACGAGTATTTCAAGTCGGAAATGGTTCCACCCAAAAACGGAACAACTTTGAGGAGATTTTGAGTGGTGTCAGGTAGATCCTTCGAGGAAGTGACTTCACAGAGCGAAAGGCCGACGATGAGACAGCGAAGAAGGCTTATCGTGGGAACCGTCATATCCTGATAGCTCTCGAATCGACTGGATAGTCGACTGATGAGGCGCTGAATATTTTCCCTCACTGTTTGCATAGTCTCATACTGATGCATGAAATCCGATTCAGACGTTGCCAACTTTGGTGGGAGGTCTATCGCTTGGATAGTGTTGAGAATATTCGAGAACTCGGCATGTAGCTTGCTCAGCTCGGATTGGGCAGGGCGGAAAACAGGCTGCACGGCTTCTGGCAGCGGTCCAATCTTATTGGCTTCTTCTTGAAGTCGCTCGATGCGGGCATTCGTGTCTTGGCCAGTGAATTCTTTCTCAAATGAATGAAGCACTGTGATCTTTGCATCAAGATCCGTATGTATCTTCTCGAAGAATTCTCGCTCCATTTGAGGGCGAATTTGGGGATCGAAAACTCGGTCTGGGACATACAATAGCAACGCTCCAATGCTAAAATGATTCCAGGCTAGGGCAGACAACGTATGTCGCTCCTGGGAATTCGCTTCTGAGGCAGCCATAGCCACGATGGCAGGAAGAAAATGGGTTGAGATGATTTCCTGAACATGAGATGCCTCGACGCTGCGGACCAGATCGGTGAATACCCCAACAGTTGACCAGTCCAGGTTACGCCAAGCCGCGTTGGCTTGCGAGAGCTCCAATGCTTTTTGATAGGCGAGATCAGCCAAAGTCCTGGCGCTAGCAGAATGTGCGCCGAGAATTTCAAGGAGAAGCTGCCACAAAACGCGGTTGAGCTTTATGACCGGGTCGGACACGATACTGGCTACGAGCCTTGTCAAATTCTGAGCTAGAATCGGTAGTTCAAGTTCAAGCAATGCCAGTGAAGCCAGAGGAACGGAAGGTATGTCAGATATCTTGGACCACAGCGAAGTGGTAAATTTGCCATTCCAAGAATAGTGGTCTTGGCTTGCCAGGACATTGAGCGACTGAAGGAGCGCTGCCTGATCTTTTGACGTCTCCATGAGCATCCCGACCTCTGTTGGTAAGTTAGACAACAAGATGATGTCACGGTTAGCGTGCTGGATCACTTTGAAATCATCTGCCTTGCTCAGGATATCAACTTGTCGGAGGGTCTCAAATATATCGGCAAAGAATGGGGTGAGATCGCGGGCGTCGAGCCCTATACGATCTTCCAAAGACTGAATTTCGGACTTCAATGCAGCCACAAGATCGTCGGTAGGCATGGCACCTTCTTGAATGACTCCATATGCCTTCTCCAGCGTAGATGAGGCTTTGCAGAGATCCTTGATAACCGCAGGGGCCTTCCACCGGAGTGAATCGAATCTATTCGCCAACTCTTTGACCTCGAGGGCACCTTCCAGTCTAGATTCGTCGTGGAAAGGGAGAGGACGGAAAACGGTCCAAAGCAGTTCCATGCTTAACCCAGTCGCCAGCTTGAAACCGGGCCCAAAGTCGGTACTTATTAGGCCCAGAACGCGATCAACAAATTGCTGCTCGGTCTCTGCCGCTTTGTGCGGAGAGAATCTCTGGAGGAGGTCATTTCCTTGAAGCAAATGAGCCTGGAATCGAGCCTCGTCAAATATAGCAGAGCTTGCAAGTAAGATCGTACGCTCAAGATAGCAGATCACGAGCGTTGTGATGCAAGAACCATCCTTCCAATGCTCGGAAGCAGAGGGACCGGAGCCAAGGTAGTCTGCTATCAAAGATAAGACGCCTGAAAGAAATCTGGAAACGTGGACTGTTGAATCTTTAGAAACGGCTGCGACGCGGTCGCTAATGAGGGATCTCTCCAGACGATTCAAAGCGCCAAGTTTTAAGCCCTGCGCGCGGCGGCCGCGACTCTCGATATCAGTGGCTAACTGGTGGATGTCCTGAGCGAACTCATACCGTGCGCCGAGCCATCTGAAGTGCTCTTGATCTACAGTTGTCGTGGTTGCAATGAAACTACTGAGAGGATGGATGGGCTAGTCAATCATTAACTTGCATTCTTTTCCATCAAGATGCTTTATTTACTTACTTGAACGTGCTGCAGGAAAGACAGTCCCTCAGGGAGAGCTTGATAGACGCTAGAAATAGCATTCACACTAGCTGATCCATAGGGAGACTGCAGGAAACCAAGAAATTGCAGAATGGTAGAATCTTTCGTATCCGCCGCAAAGCGCTGTAAGAGAGCCAACTCTTCCATAGCAAGGTGATCGATGGATATCTTGGTGAGTTGATTTGGCGCTTGTTCAAAGGTTTGAACTTGTGAAGGATTTTGGAATGAGGAGAAACCCTGGATGCTGCTCTCTACTCTGGATATCTTCTCGAAGAATGGGCTCACAGACGGCGGTGCAGTTGTAATAAAGATTTCCACAGCACGATTCCTCATCGCTCGAGAGAGCTCTCCGTAACGAGGATCGACAGTCAAGAATATCCTGAAATCAGGGTGGGGCTTGATAATTCTAGGCTCACCATTAGGTTCGCAGTGTTCATTGATGCTGAGGAATCCATTGGGCTCCAGGAGAGAATTCAGCCGGTCAAGTACCGAGGCATTGCACATATTGGCATTGTCAAGTACAAGCCATTGACCTGCTTGTAGAGCTTTGACAATCACACCATCTAACCATTCGAACCTGGGGTTGTCCAAAGTCAGGGGTCCTTGAAGTAACCGCAGTGCTGCGGATAAACTTTGACCAATCTCGGAATCGGGAGCAACCGTCTGAACTAATGCCTCGATGGAGGTACAAAGCTCTGCGATCGCCGAAGCTTGAAGGACGAATCTGTCAAGCAGATAAAGAAGCTTGAGAGCTTCCGCTGGGACTTCGTTTGGCACGGCTAACATGACAGTTTCCTGGAGGACGTCTCGTAGGCTCACTAGAGCCGCATTAACCTCGCGTAGAGGGTCTGCTTGCTCAAAGCCACCAACAAGATCCATTGCGTCAATGTCAGCATTCATGGGAAACACAACCAGAGACTTTCCAGCGAGGGCCGCAACATGCTCAAGCAAAACTGTCTTGCCGTATCCAGACGGGCTGCTCAAAATGCAAGGAATATTCTTCTTGACACAGATCATGAGAGTCTCGAGTTCTGGCAAGCGGGACTTCATATCAATCGCCGGTAGACGCTCCGGTTGGCGATCTGTGTTTCTCTCTAGAAGGGCAAGACCAACTTGTCCAACGAGCGGGCTGAGTTTATGGTAGAGGCTATGTGGCCGGGGCATTGCCCCGGTGACTTCGCTGAATAATCTGTCAACCTCATCGCGATCTTTCTGGGTTCTAAATCGCTGCCTGACAATGATATCAAGGAAGTCATCAATACGGGTGTTTTGCAGCAAATCTTCGGATGAGCTCAAAAGGTTGAGCCATCGCAGAACGTCACGAAGGTTAAACTCCCAAGGGGAACCCTGCGCACCGAAAGACTTTTCTTTAGCAAGTGCATGCTCGATCCGAGAAACAAATTGAATCAAGTGGTTGATATCCTCTGAAGGAACCCCTGGGAAATTGTGAGCTGCAATAAGTTGCAGATCATCGTCAGAGAAAACGTCCGCGTAGACAACCACGAACCGGTTGACGAAGGAGCTTGGTAGGCCCTTGCGACCACCACCTTGGTGATGAGGATTCTGAGCAGCGAAAAGACGAAAGTTGGGATGGCGCTTGAAGACTTGGTCAAGCTCAGAAATATACACTTCACCTCGGTGATCCAAGCAAGCGTTGAGTCCTTCGAGAACAGACTGAGATGCCAGGTTCATCTCATCAAGCAGTACCCATTCTCCCTTTTGCATAGCTTGGAGGAAGGGAGCGTCTCTCCATGCAAAGTTCCCTGCTTCTGCACCCTCTACAGGAACGTCCGTTCCAAAGAGATCCATCAAATCTGTCTGGTCCGACAGATTGATTCTCGTCAATGGCTGGCCGCACGCCCTAGCCAACGCAGCAACAAGAGTGGTTTTACCCACGCCAGGGCTACCCTCAAGCAAAATTGGCTTCTGCATCTGCAGAGCGCGGAGTACTCGCATACCATTCAGCCTGGTTGTTAGTGCATGGAAGGCGAAACCAGGGTCAGCAGATCCGGCGGAGGACTTGGGGACACTGAAGTCTCCAATTGAAATGAAGTCCTCGCCTGTGACTAGCTGAGGCTCTCTCTGGTAAATAGCTGCAACATCGTGCTGTGCCAGCTTACTGAGTTGCTGGAGACACCTGTCCCGTTGCTGTGACACGGACTCAGCATCTGATGCAATAATAGCTGAGGGGTTCGCGCCTATACTGTCGATGAAGATAGTCGCCGCACCATGCACCAGCGCCGCCATGAGATCTTGGGCATGGAAAGTGTTCACAAACTGAACCCAAACCAAAATCTCTCTGATTGAGAAAGAAGATGACGCTGTTGACCGGAAAGCTCCTCCAAACCACGATGCGAATTGAACCATAACCTCTGCAAGATCCTTTGCTTCATCAACAAGCTTCGTGCGCACGATGTTGTAGATGTCTTCACTCTCTGACAGCGATGGGACCCAGATCTCGGTGAAACGGTTCCTAAGTGCAGGGGAAAGCTCTTTCTTGCCGAAATCTCCGCCAGGATTCATAGTAGCGAACATCTGAAATCCATCCACTGCTGTGATGAATGAATCCTCTGTTCCCTTTTCCGCTAACAAGAGCGTCTTTTGGGGTTCCAGAACAGAGTTGAGTCTTTCCAGTACGGAATCATCAGCAAGAGATATTTCATCGAGAAGAAAGAAATGACCCTCTTTCATAGACTCAACGAGGGCACCGTCTGACCACTCAAAGAGTGCTTTGCTCCTTGTTTCATTGGATACAATACGTAGCTGGAGTTCCACTGGGATAGATGAAACGCTACTTGGTGGGAGCGACTTATATGTTGCAAGTCTATCTTCAGCCGACGTAGAGATATCTAGTCCCAGAGTTCCCAGAGCAAGCTTTAGGTCCGCATCCAAGGCATCCAGAATGGCACCACGGTTTCGGATAGGTCTCTGTGAGCCAATCAAATCGCCAGTTTCGGTGTTCTGATGTGCGTTAACGATGTGAAGCTGTTTACCCAGCGCCTCAGCAAGAAGTTGGACCACAGTGGTTTTTCCACAACCAGTCTCGCCAACCAATAGTACTGGCTCGCTATTCTCGAGAGCGCGGGACACAAGCACGTAGAGACGGCGCATCGAGTGTGTCCAGACAACTCCCTGGGCATTCTTCTGCTTTGTCAAATGCTTCAACTCGGGCGCAACGTCAGAAGAGTATAGTTTGAGAGGGTCGATTTTGACTTTGAAAACCTTCTCAATCACATCCTTGACAGCGAGACGCTCCTCTTCATTACGAACTCTCTCCGCCAGAAGCATGAATCCATGAATTGCAATTTCTTCGCGAGTATCGGCCTGTCTCAGCGCCCATCTAAACAAGTCTCTCAATGTAGCAAAGCTGTCCTTTTGCTCAAACAATCGACTAGTTTGACGAAGTCGAGACAATTCCTTGTAGACAGTAACGATTCGTCTACAATCAGGTGGCGACGTGTTGCGGCTGCGTTGCTGCAAGATGAATTCAAGCTCATTTTCAGGGATATCGTCAAAATGAAGCTCTAGGAATCTGTTTCGGAAAGCCCTTGACAACACCTTTCTACCACCATAAAGGCCAGGAGGATTCTGCGTTGCGAAAAGGATGAAATTTTCGTGTGGGCGAACCACCTCTTGGGTTTCTGGGATCAACAGCTCTCGGTTATCATCCAATAATCGATTAAGAGCTTCAAGGACATCAGTCGGTGCCAAGTTCAGTTCGTCCAGGACAATCCAGTGGCCTTGTCGCATGGCCTGAACAAGCAGACCTTCTTGGAAACGCAGCTTGCCAGAAGAATCCGAAATATAAGTTCCAAGATATTCTTGAAGATCGGTATGCTCATGGTTGTTGATACGAACGAATTTGTTTCCTGTGAAGTTGGCTAGATATTCGATCATACTTGTCTTTCCTGCAGAGGTAGGACCCTGGATGAGGATGGGGAAGCGCCTCGTTGAAGTAGCACGGACCAAGTTGAGGAGATTGCGCTCGACATATGGTGTAATAATAAAATCATCTCGTTCAACGAGCGGCTCCTTGCCCTTGAATAACCAGTATTGTCTGTCGCGGTTCTTATTGTTAAATCGCACATACTCCTTGCCATCGTTAGGATGCTTCGGTGGTTGCGAAAGGAGGGATTGTGAGTTTCCATGATTCTCAAAGATGTGGTGATGAATGAGGGGCAAAAGCATCTCCTCGGAGTTGCGATCCAGGAGTGTCAAAAATCCCATGGAGAAACCTTCATAAAGGGCCCGTCGAAGGCCATACGAAGGAGCAATGGTATTGACGTAGCTCAGAACTCTGGTCAGTGTTCGAAGACTAAAATGAGGCACTTCGTTGGCTCCATCTACCAGTCTTTTCTCTTCGGCCAACCTCTTTGTGTTGAGGTAGAGTCGAGCAATATCGTCAGCGGCTTGATCATTCTTGGCGCTAGAGCTACCCAGGTACGTTTTGATGATTGTAAGAAGGTCTTTAAGATCTCCATCCGGACTTCGTACATATAATTCAGTAAATCGTGATCTAATCCCCGTGGGAAGATCGCGTTTTCCAACGTCGGTGGCTGGATTCATAGCACCGAATATGCGGAAGTTTGGGTGAGCGACGACCTTTTCAATCTCTCCTGTCTCTGAGAGCAATATCGAGGGCAGTTCCCCAGAGTCTGTCAACAAATCCGCAATGCTTTCCAGGGTGTCTGGAGATGCAAGATTGATCTCATCCAAAAGAACCCAGTCGCCGTTGCGCACCGCCTTGACGAGATTGCCCTCCATGAAGGTAAACGCAAGACTGCTGGCTCCTCCTGAAACTTGTACTTCGAATTGGTCAAGCTTCTTAGCGAATGCATCCCACCTTGGCCGTAAGTCAAGGAGAGTCTGCAGCTTGGACTGGGTCTTTCGGCGTTTGGCCGGCTGTCCATCTCCATTTCTAGCTTCCTCTTGTTGGGCACTCGCGCGCTCAAGATCTCCCACAATCTTGTTGAACATTCGTGGTGCCTCTTTCCACAGCTTCGCAACTTTGGCCCATTGGCCTTTCGCGAAGCATTTTCCAACTTGTTCAAAGTACTTTTGATTCTTTGACGCTGAAATGCCTGTAGCTGCAAACAAGTCTTCGAACTCTTCTTTGAGAGGGACCGCCAATGTTCGCACATTCACAGGCTTGAAACCTCCTAGCAGATCACCAACTTCGCTCTGTTGCGAAAGATTCACTGCAATCAACTTGTGGCCCAGAGATTCAGCAAGCTGCTGAACAACTGTCGTCTTACCGATACCAGTTTCTCCCACAAGGAGAACTGGCTCGCTCAGTTTCACAGCGACGGCAATTTGTTCAAGTAGCTTCCTGGCATGGGCGGTGCTAGCAAATGGCCTCCTGGACTTCTGAACTCGGCCCGCAGACTTCTGTTTTCGCAAATGAACACGTCCAATGCTCCACTGAACATCATTCTCTTGGATTGCAGGAATGTAAGCGGCCATGTAATGTTCGGCTTTCTCAATAGGAAGATGCATTTCTTCCGCAATAGCATAAACCAGCTTCTTGCTTGTCTCGGTGTTCGCGCAGTTGCCGACAAAGCAATCAAGGGCCTCCATGAACATCCAATCCCGGGTTGTTTCGCTAATTGGCTCATCCCCAGAAACTGACCCTGCCGTCAAAAGGCATTGCTTCAATCGTTGACACCACTTCAACAAGTCTCTCATGTTGATTTGCCGATCCGAGGCCCCACGACCCGCAGCGGCGAGAGCTGGATCACGGCCAAGTTTCGCCAAACGGGCATAGACAGCTAAAATTCCAGGCACGTATTTTCGTAGAGTAGGATAGGTCTTCAACATGACTTCCTCCATTTCTGGTTCTTCCAAAGGTTGAGTGTGCATCGACTGCCAGAATCGCATGCCAACGATAGACGGCAGGCTCTCTCGTCCATTCATACCGCGCGTGGTCCGCAGGGTTGCAAAGAGGCGAAAGGAGCTCGCTGCGCGAATTCTCTCTCCACGGCTAGGTATGAGGAGCTCCCTCCTCTCGATCAATGGTAAGAGAGTACTGAGAACTTCCGTCGGGGCTCGATCGAGGTCCTCAACAAGAACCCATCTTCCCTCCCTTACTGCGGTTGTCAAGACACCCGGTCGCCATTGGAAACTGCCCGGTTTCGAATCCGTCGAGTACAGTCCAATGAGCATTTTGGCGTCCGTTTGCTCATTCAGATGCAGGGTAACCATCTTGGAGTACATGCCAAGCTGCTTAGCCACCTCGTGAACGATGGATGTCTTTCCAGATCCAGGTAATCCGTGGATAAGAATGGGGTCTGCACCTTGCAGCATTCGAGAGAACCGCTCGAGATTGGCCGTCGTAGTTGGCGTCAGAACCAGGCTCGACGTATTATCGGTTGGGCCAACAGGACGTGGAAGTAAGACATCTCCATAAAGCGCGACGTAGGGTGTGAGGGTTTGAGGCAAGGCATCTATGTCAATGTCCAATTCACCGTTGGAGGTCAATTGCTCGCGGATAGAAATAACCCGCGTTACTCGTGAGTGCTCGTGCAATGTTAGAAAACCGTAGTCAACGGCAACTCCATCCAGGTCTGCGACGAGAGCAGCATCCTTTCCAACATGACGTTCAATAAGCGCGTCCAGCTTATAGTCGGATGAATGAAGCAAATTACAAAAGATCCGAACTGCGACATATCGGATTGGTTTACACTCATGAGCGAAGAGTGTCTGTGCGAATTCGGGCGAAATACAGCGCCCGAACATCTTGGAATCATAATTGATTAGCCTCCATAAAGCTACCAAGTACTGAAGTGAAACTGCGTGGTCATATCGCTGAAGCACCGTCGCAGGGTCTTGGAGATCAAGGTGTAAGGGGGGCAGATTTCCAGGCTCATCGGATGCCTGAGATGAGTGCTCCAGAAATGTCGACAGATATGAAGCAAAAGGCAGAATTCTGGCTAAAGCTGAAATGATATTGAGTTTCCGTCTCTCATCTCCTGAACTGAGAATCCACCTTGCGCAGATATCTGAGGAAAGGGTCTCGAAATGGGAGAAAATCCGTTCTGTAAGTAGTGGGATGAGAGCGGCCTCTGAAACAGCATCGAGTACATTGGCGGCGGTTTGGTCTTTAATAATTTCCAAGATTTCGACCGGCAGGTGATCCAAAACAGTCGCATCGCTTAGGAGCGACCTCCTCTGCCTCGAGACGTCAATGACCGCCATCCTGACGCTCGTAAGGCCGTTAATTGGTGCGTATGTTGGGAAAAGTGTGGTTTTTTCCTCGAGTTTGCTCCCATGCTCCATCGCAATGGGCAACTTTTTTTCTGGGGCCGCCGCCGATAAGATAACGGCTTGTAAGTCGGTGTCGGCGCCACATTTCACCGACCCAATCACAGCGCAGCGAAGAACTAGTTTCGAAGACAGCTCGAAAAACTTGGGACATCATCTCCCTGCTCCACGACGCACGCGATATCAAGGCGAGCCACCAAGACAATTCCTCCGTTGTCAGCCTCTCAACCCAGTCCCAGCCATGGCCATGTCGTGTCGGAACGCAGCTCAGAGCTGCGCTCGCCAGCTTCGATCCGCCCCTACTGCCAGAGCCTCCGCACAATTCCTCCGGGTATCTGCAACGACGAGACGATTTAACTCGACCGAAGCCGCCGCCACCAACCCCAAGATTCAGACCATTGTCGACCAGATCAGCCAATTGACTTTGTTGGAGACTGCCGACCTTGTTTCTAGCCTCAAGGTACGTTGTTGGGCAGTATAGCAGGCCTGATCTTGGACTTTTTCGCTGATCCGGGTTCTGGTCCCACTTTCACAGACCAAGCTGAACATACCCGATCTGCCGGTTGGTGGTTTCGCTGCCGCTCCTGCTGCCCCAGCCGCCGCCGAGGAGCCTGAGGAGGCCGCACCCGCTGCCGCCGAGAAGCACCTATTCACACTCAAGCTGCAAGCATTCGACGCCGCCTCCAAGGCCAAGGTCATCAAGGAAATCAAGGCCATGCTCGGACTGAGCTTGGTTGACTCCAAGAAGTTCGTGGAGAGCGCACCTAAGATGATGAAGGAGAACGTTCCCAAGGAGGATGCCGAGAAGATCATTGCAACTCTGAAGGAAATTGGCGCTACTGTCGTCATGGAGTAGAAAGAACAAGAAACGAACATATCACGATCTGTCTCGCTGCTGGAATCCGCTAAGGTGGACATGTGTAATAGATAGAGGGGTATATTCCATGTACAAAATATTTACAATGTACGAGTACTGAAAGAGAAATTCCTCTTGTCTTACTTATGAAATGTGCTTTTTCTCATTCCTTGGCTCATAGACGGTTCACCTACTCCAATTCCTCCCCGCATCCCAAGCATCTTGAATCCTACCAAATTTTGCCTGTAAACCGCCTCGAATGGGTATAAATGGAGGTGCAGTCCAAATTCAACCGCCTTAAATGTCCAAACGCCTCTCCAATGCGACTGTTAATAGTAATAATAATGTGAAAACGCCCACAACACTTCTTTGCCTTGCTTTCCGTTGAGAATTTACCCCCGGTGATCATTTTGGCCTTCGCGATGGCCACAGTTAAACACTTCCATCTCTTTCCCAAAATCATCAGCCTCCTCGGCCAATATCCTGTCGTCGTCCTCTCCATACTCGCTAGTCTCATCCCATAGCTTATTCATTTCAGCGTCTCCAGACGCCGGGACAGCCCAGATGTGCTCCCGCTCTCTCTTGTGGCGCTCACGATCCTCCTCAATACGCTGCTCAATCTGCCGCTTGTCCAGACGATGGTGAGCCGGAGCGCGGCGGTTCTGCTTGGCAGAGGTCTCTGACTGGTGGGCGTCCGGCATCTGGACGTCCCCGTTTGGCGAGGCCATGTCGAGGTCGTCAGCGGTCGTCTCACGTTCCTTGATGACCTCCTCAATCTGCGTGACGGCCTGGACTTCCAAATGCCCCTTTCCAAGCAACGCTTGTAAGACCTATAATGATGATGTAAGATTTCTAGTTCGAAAAAAAGAAGAAGAAGAAAAGAAGAAGACGGGGCCGTGATGTACCTTGCGTACTACTTTGACATTGGCAGCACCAGAGCCGTCATCCGGGGCGACGGCATCAACCACACGGATGATGTCCCTCTGCATCATGCGGATATAGTCAGAATGGCCATCCTTGTGGGCGGCATCCAGAAAGTGCTCAATAAAGTACATTATATTCGCACGAGTGTTCATGTTATTCTATCCACGGGCCATCATCAGCAAGGGTGCGAGCAGAGTTTGCGACACAGAAAAACTCACCCGCTCAACCTGCTCCAGGATACACGAGTGCAGGTCCTCGTCCATGTCTTTGTACTTGAGCGCATACTGGGCAGCCTTCTGCGCCGATGCAATGGATGCATTGAGATGCTGGAGCTGAGAGGTGAACCTCATGCGAACCTCAAAGGGGTCGGCCATGGCGAGAGCGACAGCAGCAGCAGCAGCACCGAAGCCAGCAAAGGGCCGTTTAGCAGCTTGCTGCCAGGGGCAGGGCGGGAGGTCGACGGCGCGCACAGGTCTCGCATGCACGTCTCAACAGGCTGCTGGAAAAGGGCAAGGGGTGCAGGGCCTCGGATAACTTCCGTGAGGTGTGTCAGCCTGAAGGCTTTGTTGATGTTGACGGCGTCCCTGTCTAGTGGGAATGGATCTGGAATCGGCGACGCCGTTGACTGATCGCTCGCGTTGCGCTGAGAAAGATGATGCCAGTCCACCCTCCCGCAGTGCCGCCGTGCCGGGGGAGCAATGTGATAGGCGCCCTGTGTTTTACTTATTTCGCATTACGGGGCGTCGGGCCCTGCTGTGCTACAGTGCAGTGCCTACGAGGCTACCTGGGGGTGCCTGGGGCGCTGTACCACCACTCCGCCCGTGCCTGGCTCGCGGCGAGGCTTCCAGCTGCCGGCCTCGACTGGGGCCCAATCTACGGCGCTTTGTGCCTGAATCAGGTACCAACGAGGTATTCGATTCGTACAATTGTTGCTGCCCTTGCCTTACCATGCCACTAGTCATAAATAACAGGTCGTAATTACAGCCACGAGAAGGAATCGGGTCTGGCCCAAATAACAACAGATCGTCTCCTGGTCCGAGCGATCTGGCTGAATGCCTGGATTCGTGGTGCTGCTGCGTTTCGCATCCTCGCTTTGATCCCGTCCGTGGCTTCGTGGCTGGCTAGTCCGATATATCTCGCCCAGCTGAGGCAAATAAATAAATATCTCGCTGGGTCTATATACCCTTAGTCTGCCCCTACTTCGCTTTTGTTCGAACTTACCTCGCTCGCCTCGTTTCGTCTCGTCCCGTCCCGCTAGCACTTATTCTCATTGGGGCTGTCCATCCCATAGCAAAAAATCACCTGGTTTTTGCGACTTTGTTCACTCTGCCTGCCTCACAATTCTTTAGGAGGTTGTTTTTTTAAACCAAGGGCTTGCCTATTATCATCTTTCAAGATATTTTTATCTTCCTTCATCCACAGTTCTAGGCCAGACCTTATCAGGGGCATCATTGAGAGCCACTTTTGAACCTCCCAAGTGTTCAACCTCCCATCCCTACACGCCTATTCAATTAAGCAGACTCCTTTTTCTTGGTTTCCAAATGCCCAGAAAGCAGCCCTCTAATCAATCTCTGAATTCACATTTCACCATGTCTTCAACAACGAGCAGCTCTCTCGCCCTCACCCACCATGCCCAACGGCAGGACTTCACCATGTCCGTTTTAGGTTGCGGTATGTCCCTTGCATGCATGAAAACTGGAAATGCTACCCTAATGCTGTATTTGGAAAGAATCGATCACTAACATGCAGTGTCTATCGCTTGTCTGCAGGTGACATGGGCATCGCCATCCTCAACGGGATCCTCACCTCGCTCGCTGAGCTCCAGGGCCCCAAGCCTCTGCAGACCTCCGGCACGGCCACTCCCGCCGAGGAGATCCCAGAGAGGCTCCCGTCTCGCTTCTTCGCCTGCGTGCGGTCCCCCGAGACCGCCAAGCGGGTCAAGAGCGCGCTGTGGGAGCACTCCTCCATCCTCAAGGTCGTCAGGAACGAGAACATCCAGTGCGTCCAGCAGTCCGAGGTCATCCTCCTGGCCTGCCAGGAGAGCAAGGTCAGGAGCATCCTCGGCGAGCCTGGCATGGCAAAGGCCCTGCATGGGAAACTCCTCATCAGCGTCTGCGCCGGCGTCACGGTAGAGCAGCTCGAGGAGGCGCTCCACGGCGCCGTCCCGTCCAAGGACCCCTCCGAGGACGGACGCTGCCGCATCGTCCGCGCCATGTGCAACACCGCCGCTCTGATCCGCGAGTCCATGACCGTCGTCGCTTCGACCGAGCCGCCTCTGCCTTCAGAGACTGAGTGCCTGGTCACCTGGATCTTCAGGAGAATCGGCGATGTCGTGTACCTCCCCGCCGAGAACATGGACGCATCCACGGCTCTCTGTGGCTCCGGTCCCGCGTTCTTCGCTCTCATGCTGGAAGGCGCCATTGACGGTGCCGTCGCCATGGGGCTGCCCCGTCCCCAAGCCATCAGAATGGCCACACAGGCCATGAGGGGAATGACCGGTCTGGTCCAGAACGGCGAGCACCCTGCGCTCCTCCGTGAGAGCATCAGCACTCCTGGCGGGTGCACCATCGGGGGTGTGTTGTCCCTGGAAGAAGCTGGTGTTCGTGGCACCGTCGCCAAGGCGGTGCGTGAGGCCACTGTTGTTGCGAGCCAGCTGGGTCATGGTGTGCAGAATGTCAATGGAACGAGGCGTTCGTGATAGATGCGAGTAGCTGCCAGGTGGTAACGACAAACTTCAAGTTCTGGGACGACTATTTCCAGCCTACCTGCACATTTGTATTTGCTTGATCTTTTTATTTCTTATTTGTTAGGAGAGCGAGGCATGTGATATTCCGAAAGAAGCAACGAGTGATATGGAATCATAGCCTAGGCGTCGAGATATCTTGGTGGCCTTTTACACAATTATGGGGAATGTAGAATAAATGTACAACATACGTAAACTTTTCTTTCGCAACGCCTAATGCTAAACCGAATCCCTAAAAAGTACATTCTTGTTTATTACACAATTGATTAATTACGGTTTAATCACTGCATGACTTGGCGCCATCAGTTCTTTGCCTTCTTGCTTGGTGCCTCGTTCCCGTCCTCCTCAAGCTTGCGCTTAGCGCTTGCTGCCGTGGTTCGCTTGCTTGCCCGCTCATACAGGGCCAGGATTCTTGAATTTGCCAGTTCGACTCCGCCCAGGACCTCCTCAAGCTTCTCAATTCTCTCTTCAGGCTCCAGCTCCGATAGCGCATCACGGTTATGGCGATACAGGCGCTGCTTGGCGATCAGTTGCCAAATCTTTTGCTGATGCTTGTCCTTGGCCGTTGGAACTGGGACGTCCTTGTCCAGGTCCATGGAAGGTCTGACAGAGTCAGGCAGCTGAGACATGAGATGCATCTCCAACACCCTGCTGAACTGCCTAGGTGCAATCTTGGCGTTGCGCTGGATCTCATCGACCTTGTCTCCTCCCACAATGAGCGAAGGAATAGTAGCAGATTTGGGAATCGCAAGATCAGTATTGACACGGAGGTTATTGAACTCAGGCAAAGTTCGCAAATACTCCATATCACACACATCACGCAAATCGTCAAACGCCTCATTGGGGTCCTCCACAGTGAATTCCTGAGTTTGTGCGTGCTTATGGTAGTGCTGGAAGATAGACTTGTAAAGGCGTGCGCCACACCCTTTGCCTTGGAACGGTGGCAAGATCAAAAATTGAGATAGTCGTGTTCGGCATGGCAGTTGGCTCAAGTCGAGATCTCCAGCAGGCAATTCCCATTTGTCACCTGGTGATGCCGGGGGTGTTGGCTGCTGGAACCAATAGAAACGATAGATGGTGGAATATCCAACAAAGACATAGGAACTCTTGCTGGGGTCCAACTCAGACTCGTCTTTTCTGTATAAGAAAAAGAGTGTCCATCGATCCGCATCCGAAAGATCAAGCTCTGTAGAATCGGAATCGGGCTTCTGGCCGATGTAAGATCCACCTTCGATGAAGAGGGGAACCAGAATCTGGACTCGGGTGTTGAGTTGTTTCACTGCCGGGTCGGCGAGGTTTCCCTTCCAAATCTCGTACTTTCCATCGGGTCCATCGAAAGTATCATGCAAGGTGCCTGGAGGGGTCCATTCGTTGGAGAGCTGCTTAGAGCCGCTCTCAAAGTCCGATTCCTTTACAAAAGCGACTTTGCATCAACAAGTTAGATGGAGTTATGATCAACGCAAAGTTTGGGGTTGGGATGTCACCAACCTTTTGGCAGATGGTTGCCTTCTTGGAGGATGCCGACGATATCATCTGGCTCAGCATCGCCTTGAGGCTTGAATACCTTGGTATGCGATACTTTGAGGTGTGGCCTCATATCATTGGCACGATAGCGCAGGTTGATCTTGAGGCCCTTGTATCCGAAGATCTTTTCTTCTTCGCCGAAAATGGGGTATGTGAATCTCGGGTTGAAGGTCGAAATCGACTGAAGACCAGACTTTGTCGGAGCGACGAGGCTAATGTTTAAAGCATCATTGGAGCTCGTGATCCCTATATTTTGCGTCAGCCAGAGATTCATGGAAGCTATTCTGAGGCTGCAAACTCACAGTCTTCCAGGTTAGGTAGAGCCGCCATCTTGGAAATAAGCTGGTATGCCAATCGGCGCACCGCAAATAAACAAGTCAAGAGAGGGTATTGAAATAAATAAATGGAAGATTAATTCGAGAAGAGTCTGATGGAAGATGCGCCGTTGGCAGAGCTGCTACCCTCAACCACCAAAAGCCGATGCGACAAGAGGAAGAGTAATGTCTGCAGCAGGCGCGTTGAGGCGCGATTGATTCACTTTACGCGCAGTGCTAGCCCCAGAAATAAGCCACAGGCGGCGTGCTCAGGGACCCGCTACCCTGCAGGCTACAGGTTAGCTCAAAGTTTGCAGCCTAAAAGTAAGACATGCTGCAGCAGGTTAGAACAGCGAAAAGAAGCAAATGGCATGTCCCGAGCCGCGCTAGACCACTCCTGACAAATGACGTTGAGCGACCTGCCCGAGAGTCCGTGCTGAATTGCGGACACTGCGGACCAACCCCTGGTGCTCCAACTCGAAATGCTTGCTAGGCTGCTACCGGGCGCACTCTTCTTTCTTTGATCAACCAACTACGGCTCGAATGGAGTTGCTCTCGAGATCGCCAATATGCTAGACATAGCGAACAAAGCCACACCGGTCGGCTCGACGGTCTTCTCGGTCATCGCCCTCGTCGTCATCTCTCTCGTCGTTTTAGCCATCTTGCGATTCTATCTCCCATTGCGCACGACTCCCGCCCACTACCTCGTCCCCATCTTCTTCGCACTATGGCTCCCTTCGGTCGTCGTTATCCTAGTCCCCATCGATCTTGCCTCGAGCGCCAGAACCGACGATGAGGCTACCCGAGGAATATGGCTTCCTGAGCGGGTGGTCGTGGTGGCTTGGAGGATCACTTACTGGCTGACTTTTGTTCTCACATGGTACGTACGACCCAGCATGCGTCTTACGTCTTGTCGCATCTCTTTTTTCCTACTTGGCGCTCATTCATTTTCGGCAGGGCCCTTCTCCCCATACTTGGCGAATACTCTGACGCCGGATACCGCGAACCTATCGAGAGATTACGATACTCGGTCCGCCAAAATGCTCAGTTCATGGCCATCTCACTTGGGCTGGGTCTTGTTGGATTCATTTACATCCTGATCTCGTACGAGGTTAAACTATCGCGCGCGAAGGACGTTGCCATGGCGTTGGCCTACTGTTGGGGTTTGGCGCTCGCCATTTATCTCATGGGTCACGGGCTCGTTTCCATCCCACGTCGGCTGGTCCGCAACGCCAGCGTTACCGGAAGATTGCGCCGCCTACAGACCAAGGCACCTAAAGTCTACGAACGAATGGAAGATTCTCTGGTCAGTCTCGAAGAGGTAGAATACCAGGTTTCCGAACTTATCCGGCGCAAAACGGGGAGCGCCTTGGAATTCCAAGACTGGATCGAAGAGTTGCAGGAGATGGCGAATATCGGCGAGAGTCAGTCCCGACCCGGAACTACCGACCCTAACTCACGAGTAATACCAACCGTCATCACGGATAAATTCCTTGCCAGCTTGACGAGGAAGCTCGTCAACGCACGCCATACCAGATCTCGATATTCGGACGAGTGGGCACAGCTTATCCAAGAAGCACACGAAGCGCAAGCGATCATCGACTCGGCAGCCTCAAAGAAGCTGGATTTTGGCGATGCCGATCCCCACGCAAGCTGGTGGAGCAGAACCAAGTTCCTTACCCCATATACCAGATACTTGCTATACTTCCAGATCCTGCCGGTCGCAAACTTCTTGCTCGGGGTTCTGTGCGCGGTTGCTTCCGCTTCGATCGTGTGGTCCGAAGTTATCAAGGTCGTCGCACCCAACCTATCACTCATTCGTCTAACTGTTGTCCACCACTGGAGCCAAGGCAGAGCGGAAGTTGGCTTCGCTGGACAAACAATCTCGACATTCTGGGTATGCTACATGTTTGCGGCAGCACTTACATCGGTCACAGAGGTGCGAGTGTGGCGTGGACGAGCTCTAGTCAAGCGCAATACGGCCTACGAGTCTGCCTTCTGGTACGCAATGCTGGTTGCCAGGCTCAGCGTGCCCCTTTCCTACAATTTCGTCACCTTCCTGTCCCCAGACGTATACAAGAAGACAATATTCTTCAAGTTCCTGGGACAGTCCATTGTCTTAACCGACATTGGTCGCTGGTTCGATAGACTTTTTCCAGCCTTCATCTTGGTCCCGGTTCTCGCCACCATTTTCGGTCTTTATAAGAAAGTAAAGCGCATTTTCGTCGGCCTGGACGTCATCGAAGACGAGGATGAAAATCCCACGGGGTATGGAACGGGTTCGTGGCGGGAAGGACGTGATCTCATTGACCGCGAGCTCCGTGGGAACTCTCTCCTCCGTCGACGAGACGACGGCTTCTCAAGGCTGTCAACCACGGCTGCTGGCGGCACGGCAGGCCGATCCGCGCCAGTTCTTTCTATCCCAGCGGCCAGGAATGCAGCGACCTCCCCGTCGCCCTCGCGAGCGGCTTCCAACGCTAACCGCGCAGGCCCCTCATCATCATCCCGGGGTCGCGTAATTGATGAGCCGGAGGATGAGAACATCTTCTCCATCATCGGCCATCGCATGAAGAACACGATGGACACCATCGAGACTCCCAAGTGGATGCAGGACTTTGGTCAAGGGATGAAGACCCCCAAGTGGATGGGCGGGGCCGAGGACGGCGAGCAATCGCAGGGTGCAGAGCGCGAACGCACCAGCTCGGATATCAGAAGATGGTTTGGGGGCGATGGACATATTCGCTTATAGCACTAATACTTAAATCGTGGGTTTGTCTGACCCAACCGCTTTGTTTTGGATGTTCAGCAGTTCTCATATTTGGCGCAAATGGGATCATCAGGTTGGGCCTGTGTTATAGGTTATCCTAAATAGAGCATATATCAGGTATTAATTATCAAAGACTATACAAATATAATCCCGTAAATGAGATATCCTCTTCTTGGTCATTGCCATCGGTAACAAAAAGGTTTGCCAAATTCACTCAATACATGTATCCCGAAACCCGTTTTTTATCTCAGTCTTCTTCTTTTACTTATTGCGTTCATTCATTGCTTCATCAGTCATGACAGAAACATGTGGAATCCAAAAACTGCGCAAATATCAAAAAAGGCAAGCAC